CATGAGATGATGCTTTGCGTCAAAGCGGGTCTTAAAAAAAAATATTATATATTAAAAGTATAAATACATAGTTTGAAGCACTTCTACAGTTGGATAATTTAATTTGCGTCTAATCCTGACATCGTCGAGGAAAGATCCAATTACAGGCATTTAAAAACCTCATCAGGAACGCGGCTGTATTCCCGTTTTCAGCGAGGAGTCGTTGTTATCGCAGATATCAGTGACAATTTAGATAGCTCTTGACTTGATCAGATGGGAGTAGGCCCGGCGGGTGAGATAGCTCAGTGTGGGCTAAACTTGCTGTTTTCTTCAGAGCTCCGTTGATTACAGGAAAACCTTTAGCTATGTCAAAACAAAACAAAGCAAAACAAAAGATCCCCAGCCCACCTCCCCTCTACGTTCATGAACTTGGCCCTGGAACAAGGCTGAGATCCAAAAGCCGGCCAGGAGCTACGCTGGTTTGGTTTTGTTTTGTTTTTTTTTAATTCAGTTTTGCCGATATGTTTCGGTTCTTCCCAAACTCCTAATAAAACTGCCGGAGCTCGGAAAGAAAAAAGTACAGGCGACGTGGTGTCATCATCTGAAAAGTGTTCATGCGTCGAGGAGAAAAGCCGCAGGCAGAAATTTTTCTGGCGCTTCCAAGCGATGTGAGATGTGAGTTCTCCTGCCATGGCTCGGGAGAACCAGCCCTGGGGCTGTTACTGGTAAATTGGGATGTTCCCATGGTGTGAATCTCCCATACCCACGTTCATCTGGACCTCCTTGGTTTCAACAGCTTTTCATTTTTTGGAGGTTACTGCTCCGGCGTCCCATCCTCCAGGATTTCTGTACAGATGGAGCATTTTCTGCAGCATCCCTCCCTGGAGCAGGACGATGCCCCGAGCCCACGGGCACGTGCACACCCAAAGCTAGAGAAATCCTGACCGTGGCCTTTTATTGAGCGATTTTGGGGCAGGACTTGATGCTTGTGAGGGTCAAGGCTCGCACCCTCTCCTGCTGCTTGGTGTTGGGAAGTAGCTGGGATGATGCTTTTGTGGAGGACAGTCTTCCTTTCCAAGGGATGCGCTGGTAGTCCTTCAGGAGGGTGTAAAAATCATGGAAAAAAATCCGGAGTGTGATGTTGAATAACGTCGTCATCCTGGGACATCGCCGTCTTTGTCACCATCCCAAGGAAGAAATTCTTTACACTGAGGGTGGTGAAACCCTGGCAGGGGTTGCCCCGAGAGGGGGTGGAGGCCCCATCCCTGGGAACATTCCAGGCCAGGTTGGACGGGGCTGTGAGCAACCTGATGTGGTTCAAGGTGTCCCTGCTCCCTGCAGGGGGGTGGGGCTGGGTGACCTCTGGGGGTCCCTCCCAACCCAAAACATTCCATGATTCTATGATCCTCACCAAACCTCCAAAAAAAGTTACCCCGAAGCCGTCGGGGTATCAAACTCTTTTGATTTAATTCTTAATTTAATTCTTCATTTCTCTCCTTCAGATGGCCGTTCTCCGTAGACCCAACTATAAGTGATCAATACAACAAACCCTCTAAATTCCTCAGGGCAGACTTGCTTTATTTTCAGTTATTTATATATCTTTTTTCTTTCACAATAAGCTTGCACAACGCGCTGCGGGGGGTGGGGGGGAGAGCCTGATGGAGCCCCTAGGCAGGCTGTAATGCGAACCATGGAAAATAATAATAAACCGATGATCGCAGCAAACGGAGGGATGCTTAATAACGAAATAATAGCGCGGATGTTTATAGCATTAAACATTATCATTGTTTGCTGGAATATGGGAACGCTCCCAGTTTGCTGGGAGTTTTCCAGGCATTTAGAAAGGGATGTGTTTGCTCTGAGGAGCTCGTAAAAACGTTGCTTTTTAACTCAAAACAAGAATCCCAAAGCGTTTCTGGGCTGTCGCGCACGAGGACACGTTGAGGGTGATGAGGCTGCAAACCTTCCTGGGATCTGGGGTTTTGGGGGGGGGGGGGGGGTTGCAATGGGCGTTGGATGGTGGGGCCCGAGGAACCCAGCAGGGCGTTTTGGGGCAAAATCCACCTAATTTGCTTCATTTGCCCAGACCCGTGGTCATTGCCACCAAAAAAGCCTTTGGGGGAAAAAAATCTCCATCCCCGTAGGAAGCATCCCGGTGTCATTTTTTCCTCCTCTCCTGCAACCTTTTCTCCAGCCTCCGCTGCCCGAGTGATGCCACCGGCTTTTCCCACCCCTTTTCCCAGCAAATGCCAGAATCAGGGAGGCGGGTGGGAGCGGGGAAGCTCCGCCGGGGTCCCGACAACCGTGAAAAGCGGCTTTGGTGGCGGCTGGCAGGGCGGCCTGATCCTGTTTATCCGAGCTCAACCCTTATATTCTCATGGCTTTTTGACTAGACATCCAGTCAACAGCCGAATCCCGCAAACGGAAGAGGCTCTGGCATATTTATACTGTGTGCTGGCATTGGCTCCTTAAAAAAAAAAAATATCCCGGATTACCTAAGACTCGTCCTTGAGGTCTGGTCACCCCATGTCATTGAAAAATCTAGTGGGATTCATTCATGAACTTCCAGCCCTCCATAAAGGTCTGTTCATTCATAGCCAAGGTGAAAAGCCTTCCCCCCCCCCGCCTCCTCCTGAAAGGGGGGTTTTTACGTTCGACTCAATACAAACCTATAGGAATTTCAGTGGGGTTCAATGGCTGTTGCTCCAAAATTCCCTCAAACTGCTGTAAAAGGAAACCCAAGAAGCTCTGAGCATCGCTGACAAGCGGGGAGGGTGCCCTGGAGGGGGGGCGATGGGTGGTCGAGATGGGGATGGATCCAGGAGCATCCCCGCCCCAGATCTAGGAGCATTGCCCCCCCTGCCTCCAGCAGCATCCC